AAACAGTATTAGTAGTTTTGTAACCTTCTATTGTGTCCCCTATAATTATTTTTTATTCTACTTTTTATATTTAATCTTTATTTATTTTGGAATTTTTGTAACCTATTAAAAGGTTAAAAGTCTACTTGACAATAACTGCTGTTCTCATTATGAATTGTGTGAAGGTCACATTTAAGAAGTTTGCATTAAGTTGACGGATGAGCTACTCACCGTCTGCGGTCATGCCAATCATATGCGGCCAAGTGTGGTCATGTGACCCCTGCTGTAATTGGCTTTGGTGCCTCCGGTGATTTCTGATTGGCTGACTGTCACAGACTTCCCCTCCAGCGCTCGCTCTAGACGTGATGCTTAAAGGCGGAGACTGCCAGAGCTCTGTCTATACAATGAGCTGGACTTTGACTATTAGAAAAGAAGAGAACCGATGCATTATAAGACGATTGGGAGCACGATTTAGGAGAGCAAGATCATTTGAACCATTCTGGAAATAGAATTGCAAGACATTAAATCCATATAGTGTTCAGAATGATATTGAGAAAAATATAGGCTATATAAGGTATAAATAAAAATTTCTTTGTGACAATCTGTTTACAGTCAGTTGTCACTTTCAGCAGCTTTAACTCTGTTTCTTCTAAAAGTTAATGTTAATTTCAATGTGACTTGTGAAGTTTACAGCAAATGACTTGATTAGCCTGTGCATGACTCAACCTTACCAACCAGCTCTGTTAGTCCCTCGGTGATGTGAGTAATGTCTCATCACAGCGCCTTTACATGCTACAAGCCTTCCTGGTGCGGAGGGATTTAGCGAATGTTGACGGTAAGCGTGTGTGACAGTGGGTGGACAAGAAAACACGTAGCCTACACAGTTACACAAACACACATCATAACTTAAGGTACATTAACAGAAGGCAAGTCGAGGCTTGAGCTCTTACAACACTCTTCACACTCGTTTTAGTTGATCACTTTTCCTCCAAACGTCCCATTCATCTTATACAACGATATAAAGTACAGTTTCTAATTGCACAGAAATAATTCTGTCGAAAATGGAAAATGGTTGTAAAATCTCTGTATAGCAGAAAGCAAGCAGAGACATTTTTAATAAATCTAATGTTGTCTTCCCACAAAATCATTATTTTCCCCATCATTTTTTTCACTGGGGACACTGATTGCCAACAAAATGTTGCCAGTGTTTGTGGCCTTTGGGGAAAGAATTTAATTACCAGAGCACAAAATATTGATTATGAGTGAGTGATTATGATTTTTGATTCAAACCAATTTACAGAGAGCCGCAGTCTATTTCAAACTGCAAAATGATTCCATATTTCATAGCTATCACATTTTCAAGTCGTTATAGCTCACATTGAGACAATGGTCCTATGCTGACTCCTAGAGGTCATATCAAAAAGTGCATCGATGCATCTTCAACTGATGATTTTTTGCCAATGAATATGCAATTTCTAAATGACATAAGTAAACAATGTCTTTTTATATTGTGAGCGGGGAAATTTATTTTTCCATTATTTCATTTCAGATGGAAAACAAAGGTCAGAATACGTTGCAATGTGGATCAGATCTATTGATATTTAATCAGGAAAATAATGAAAAACAATTCCACATGATTTAAAGTAATTCACATCTGTAGCACACATTTTGTGAGAGAAAGTACACAATCACAGTGTAATACTTAGGGTTAGGCATTTAAACAAACTCTTAAAGGAATAGTTCACACAAAAATGAAAAACTGCTGAAAATGTACTCACCCTCAGGCCTTCCAAGATGTAAATGAGTTTATTTGTTCATCAGAACAGATTTGGAGAAATTTACCACTACATCACTTGCTCACCAATGGATCCTCTGCAGTGAATGGGTGCCGTCAGAACGAGAGTCCAAACAGCTGATAAAAACATCACAATAATCGTTCATCAGAACAGATTTGGAGAAATTTACTACATCACTTGCTCACCAATGGATCCTCTGCAGTGAATGGGTGCCGTCAGAACGAGAGTCCAAACAGCTGATAAAAACATCACAATAATCCACACAACTCCAGTCCATCAATTAATATCTTGTGAAGTGAAAAGATGCATGTTAAAAAAATCCATCATTTAGGCATTTTAATTTTAAACTGTCACTTCTGGACAAAATATATTACATAATAACGCTTCCTCCAATGATTTGTTTAAAACTGTTTTCACTTGTATATGGAACTTGATCTGTGCATATTTCTCTCCTAATTCAGACGTAAATACTTTTTAACTGGAAAAAAACCCCGTCATAGATAGACTTGTATTTTAGCCGGAAGCAATGGTTTAAAGTTAAAATACCTCAATGATGGATTTGTTTCTTACAAACACACAGCTTTTGCACTTTACAAGATGTTACCTGATAGACGGGAGTTGTTTGGATTACTGTGATATTTTAGCAGCTGTTTGGACACTCATTCATTGGTGAGCAAGTGATGTAATGTTAACTTTCTCCAACTCTGTTCTGATGACAAAACAAACTCATCTACATCTTGGATGGCCTAATGGTCAGTAAATTTACAGCAAATTTTTGGGAGAACTATTCCTTTAACCCTAAGTAGGAACAATAGTATTATTAGTGATGCTTACAAACACCACTAAAAATAAAATTGCTTAGGATAAGAAAGAGGATGACGTACCTTTTCTCTCTAATGTCATTTTCCTGCAAGGAGTGAAATATACCAATACAAGAGACAATGTAAATTTGATCTTTTTGTCTTTATTCTTCTCCAGTCTGGAAACAAATTGCAGGTTCATTATTTTCATAATCACATTACATGACGTGATGCACCAAAATTTATCTTTTTAACAGGAATACATTGAAAATAACACAATATTTCACAATGAATACTGGACTCACATTTAGCCCATTGCACTTACAACAGTGATTGCATTTTCATTTGTGAGAGCATTTTTCTTCTTTTTTCATGTTGTTTTTCCCAATTCCCGATTAAATTTATAATACATCCGCTAAATCACTCTGAACCTTCTTTTCTGGCACAGTCATGATGGAAGCCACTTACATATTTTTCATTGTATTTAGATTTAATAAACACAATATGTATAGAATCCCTACACAGACCAAATGTTTTCAGATTGTACGTTTTTCATTTTTTCCACTGTAGTCAACAGTCATTGAGAGCCAGCAACATATACTATGATATTTTTTTCTCATAATAATAACAACATTATTCTTTTATACACAAAAGCACAAAAGGTTGGCAGCAAGGCCGGCGTGAAGTTGCACAAGACGGCCATCATTTTACTCATGATATTTAAACACTGTACAAAATAACCAAAGTCAGTATTTACAGCGACAGTTTGTCTCTCTGTGTGTGTGTGCGTGCACATGCCTGTTTGTGTGGATATGTCCATGTTTGAGTATTTCTATCTATCACTGTGGCCGGCTTTTGTGGTGGCAACTTTGGCTCATGCACTTGTTGTTGAATATCTCCATGGTAACAGTGATGTAGAAGAGTTATTATTCTTCAGTATAGAGTCATGATTGCCTAAACAGCATTCCAGTATCAAAAGGAAAAGATTCACCTCTAATCAAC